CCCCTGGCAGCCTCATTCCTCCCAGGTAATTTTTATAAATGAGGGGACACCCATCGCAGGCGAGGACAAAAGGGTGGGCGAGCGCCGGGAGGCAGCGCCGACGATGCCGCGCGTCCCCGATGCTGCATCCCGAATTTTGCCCCGTATCCATGGGGACTCACATGTACATCCCCAATCCTGCATCCCTATTTTTGCCCCATCTATGGGGGCTCCACCTGCACGTCCCTGATTCTCCATCCCAAATTTTTCTCCATCTACAGGGGCTCACCCGCACGTCCCTGATGCTGCATCCCAAATTTTGTCCTATCCGTGTGAGGACTCACCTGCATGTCCCCGATGCTGCTTCCCAAATATTTCCCCATCCATGGGGGCTCACCCTCACATCCCTGATGCTGCATCCCAAATATTTCCCTACCTATAGGGTCCCACCCACACATCCCTGATGCTACATCCCAAATATTTCCCTGTCTATAGGGGCTCACCCTCACATCCCTGATGCTTATCCCAAATTTTGCCCCAACCCTGTTTTCACCCTACACCGCACCAGCTCCGAGTGTGCCATCCTACCCTCCGTGATGGGTGACCCCAGTCCCCACGGGGCAGCGGTGGCCGTGGCAGGGACACGTGGTGGCCCCATCCCCAAGGTCACAGGACCCCAACACCAGCCCTGGTGCTCCTGGGGGGACGCTGAGACATTGTCCCCCAGCCATGAACTTCTCCTGGGCTGGCACGTGATTCTGCCGGGGGGTTTAAGGTTTAAGGCGTGCTCTGACCATTTATTTTGCACTGAAATTTATAATAAATGCTGTTAAAGACTTTGGCTTTGACAGAGGTAATAATAAATTCACTGTTAAAGACAGTAGTTTAATTCCTTATACCCTCCAATACTGCACAGAATAAACTATATTCATCACCGAGTAATTTTTTACCACATAAATCTTTAAAACTAACCGTTGTAGGCTGTTGAGGCTGAAATATTGTGAATTTATTAGATATGCCCATGTAGTATTGGATTCAGAGGTTTCCATTCGAATATATTACGGGGGAAATTTGTGTCTTTAAGTGTGACAATCCTTCCATTTTCCGAAGCCAGCGTTATAACCAGCAGCTCCTCCAGAGTCAACTCGGTCTTTATTAGACAGAGATTTAGTAACGAGCCCCTCGCTAATCTGCCGGGGAGGTGGGGGGGGGTGTGTGTGTGTGTGACATTTGCCGCGATGCCCTGTTTCAGATGGGTGGCCAAAAAAAAAAAAAAATAGAAAGAAAAATAAAATTTAAAAAAAAAAAAAAGCTTTTTGTTTCCAGCCTTAACAAATGCCCGACGATTTCTCAGCTTGTTTGGTAAATGGAAGTGGAAATTTCATTCAGGGATGTGATGAGGGGAAATATTAAAGCGGAGCCTCGGCGTTAAACCCGTCCCTCCCCGGCCATAACTTCCAGGGGCTGACGTGGGTTTATGGATGTAAATATTATATACATCTCTGCGTGCGGGGGGGTGGACGCGAGCCCTTTTTATTGGGGGGGAGGAGGGGGGTTTAATAGAGGGAATGAGAGGAGACCTGAGGGTGAAAACCCCAATTGCCAAATAAATCAGGAAGGTTTGAGATCCGGGGAGGGTTTGGCAGGGGGTGAGAGGCAGCACCTCTGCCCCCCCCCAGCCCGGGGGGTGTTTGTTATTTGTCTGAGCCTGTTGAGCCCCCGCGCTCGGAGCGGGCGTCCTTGTTTCCTTTTGCTAATGTGAAATACCAGCAGACAGGAGAAATCTTTGTTCGTTAGAGAGAGACGGAGATAATTATAAAACCATCTCCCGGTTCATGAGGCGCGGGTAACATTTAAACCAATTGATGTGGTAACATTTAAAGCGGTTCTATTGCAAAATGTCACGTACGGTCTAGTTTCATTAGAGACGAGTTAATAGATGGATGGAATTGAAACTCCCGGGC